CAGGAAGGCTAAAGTGCCCCTCTTGTGGGGAAAGCTTTGCTCACAAATCTGCATTGGGGAAACATTGGAAAAATCACACAAGGGAGGTACCCTTTGAATGCCTGCAGGTGTGGAGAACGTTCAGCCGTCTTAAGGTCTCTCTTTACAGCAAGGACTTCCCACAGGGGAGAAACCATTTGAGTGCCTGGAGTGTGGAAAGGGGTTCAGGGAAATAAGAGCCCTTGATGCACATGAATTTGTTTCACATGGGGGAGAAACCATATGAATGTCTTGACTGTGGAAAGAGCTTCGGGGCAAAAGAAGCCCTTGACCTTCATAAAAGGATCCACATGGAGGAGAAAGCATTTAAATGCTCAGAGTGTGGAAAGGGGTTCAGTAGAAAAGGGCAACTCACCACTCATGAACGAACCCACACAGGGGAGAAACCTTTCACATGTATGGAGTGTGGCAAGAGCTTCACTCAGAGCTCAGGCCTTGCTTACCATGAAGGAATTCACACCGGGGGGAAACGCTTTGAATGTCATGAGTGTGGAAAGGCCTTTCGATGGAAGGCCGTATTGACTAATCATCTAAGAGTCCACACAGGAGAGAAACCCTATAAATGCTTGGAGTGTGGCAAGGGCTTCATTCAGCGCTCACATCTCGCTCGCCATCGAAGAATTCACACGGGGGAGAAACCATATGAATGTCTTGACTGTGGAAAGCGATTCGGGACAAAAGAACCCCTTGACCTTCATAAAAGGATCCACACAGAGGAGAAAGCATTTAAATGCTCAGAGTGTGGAAAGGGGTTCAGTAGGAAAGGGCAACTCACCACTCATGAACGAACCCACACCGGGGAGAAACCATTCAAGTGTATGGAGTGTGGCAAGTGCTTCAGTCAGAGCTCAGGCCTTGCTTACCATCAAACAATTCACACGGGGGAGAAACCATATGAATGTCTTGACTGTGGAAAATGCTTCGGCATAAAAGGAGCCCTTGATGCACATAAAAGGGTTCACACAGAGGAGAAACCTTTTAAATGCTTAGAGTGTGGAAAGGGCTTTAGTTGGAAATGGCAACTCACCACTCACGAACGAACCCACACAGGGGAGAAACCATTCAAGTGTATGGAGTGTGGCAAGCGCTTCAGTCACAGCTCAGGCCTTGCTTTCCATCAAACAATTCACACGGGGGAGAAACCATTTGAATGCCAGGAGTGTGGAAAGGTCTTTAGATTGAAGATACTATTGACTAGTCATCAAAGAATTCACACAGGAGAGAAACCCTATAAATGTTTGCAGTGTGGCCAGAGCTTCAGTCAGAGCTCAGGCCTTGCTTACCATCAAACAATTCACATGGGGGAGAAACCATATGAATGTCTTGAATGCGGAAAGAGCTTCAGGACAAAAGGAGCCCTTGATGCACATAAAAGGGTTCACACAGAGGAGAAGCCATATGAATGTCTTGACTGCGGAAAGAGCTTCAGGACAAAAGGAGCCCTTGATGCACATAAAAGGGTTCACACAGAGGAGAAACCATTTAAATGCTCAGAGTGTGGAAAGGGGTTCAGTGGGAAAGGGCAACTCACCATTCATGAACGAACCCACACAGGGGAGAAGCCGTTCAAGTGTATGGAGTGTGGCAAGCGCTTCAGTCAGAGCTCAGGCCTTGCTTACCATCATACAATTCACACGGGGGAGAAAGGATTTAAATGCTCAGAGTGTGGGAAGGGCTTCAGTGCGAAAGGGCAACTCACCATTCATGAACGAACCCACACAGGGGAGAAACCGTTCAAGTGTATGGAGTGTGGCAAGCGCTTCTGTCAGAGCTCAGGCCTTGCTTGCCATCATACAATTCACACGGGGGAGAAACCCTTTGAATGTCATGAGTGTGGAAGGACCTTTCAAGTGAAGGGTAAATTGACTGCTCATCAAAGAGTCCACACAGGAGAGAAACCCTATAAATGCTTGGAGTGTGGCAAGAGCTTCACTCGGCGCTCACATCTCACTCGCCATCGGAGAATTCACACGGGGGAGAAACCATATGAATGTCTTGAGTGTGGAAAGACCTTTCGATTGAAGGAAGTATTGACTGCTCATCAAAGAGTCCACACGGAAGAGAAACCCTATAAATGCTTGGAGTGTGGGAACACTCAACGCTCAGCTCTCGCTCACAAGTGGAGATTGCACACCGGGGAGAAACCCTATGAATGTCTTGACTGTGGAAAGAGCTTCGGGACAAAAGGAGCCCTTGATGCACATAAAAGGGTTCACACAGAGGAGAAACCATTTGAATGCTCAGAGTGTGGAAAGGCCTTCAGTGCGAAAGGGCAACTCACCATTCCTGAAAGAATCCACACAGGGGAGAAACCATTCAAGTGTTTGGAATGTGGCAAGAGCTTCACTCAGAGCTCAGGCCTTGCTTACCATCAAACAATTCACATGGGGGAGAAGCCCTTTGAATGCCAGGAGTTTGGAAAGGGCTTTCAATCGAAGGTTCTACTTACTACTCATCAAAGAATTCACACGGGAGAGAAACTGTATAAATGCTTGGAGTGTGGGAAGAGCTTCACTCAGCCCCAAGCTTTCACTTGCCATCGGAGAATTCACACAGGGGAGAAACCATATGAATGTCTTGAGTGTGGAAAGAGGTTCAGGACAAAAGGAGCCCTTGATGTGCATAAAAGCAAGGTAAGCTCACTTGGATCCTTCACAGGAGGAAAAAGGGTGGGAGATAAATGCAATGTAATGAGAATAAGTGTGTTGGAGAGTGAAGAGTACAGGAATGAAGTGCCCCTGAAAGTCTTTTGCATAAGGAGGATGCTTGCCCAGGCCACCCTTTTCTCCTGTCTGTGCAGCGTATCCTCTCCTACCCCTGTTTTTGCGACCTCTCTGCCCTGCCCTGAATTATTTTATCTGCAAGATCTTCGGATTCCTTGCAAGAAGAAGACAGATTTTCCTACAAATCACTAAATGTAATAAGAAATAAGAATAAGAAGCTTTGACACTAATCCAAAGGGAGCAGATTCATTTTCTTTGACAGGACTGTGGACCCCACAGAGGATTTGGTTCTCCTTTGTCACAGAAGAGCAGAGTGATTGGTAGCATTAATGAACTTCCTCTTCCCCTTCCCTTTTCCCTTCTCTTCCTCGAATGGCATTTATATCCTGCCTTCTTCCTCTTCTGAGGAACCACGTTTCCCTTTTTATCTGTACACAACAGCCCTGTGAGGTAGGCTAGGCTGGGTGATTGGCTGTCCCCAGGTCACCCAGGATGCTTTGTGGCTGAGTGGAGATTAATCTAGTAGCCCATCTGTGGGCCAAGGGTTTCGGGGCGAGTGGGGGCCTGGTCCATTGCCAAGGGGGAGAGGAACGCCTTAGCCACAGCCCTTCTGCCTCTGTCCACAGAGTTTTAAAGAAACGTGGAGGTTTGTTCTACAGTATATCACAGAAGTGAGTACTCCCCTCACATTATGCAAATATTTTGTTATATCTTTTCCTGTGACAACACTGAAGAAATGACAATGTGCCACAAAGTAAAGTAGTGAGTATACAGCTTGTATAACAGTGTAAATTTGCTGTCCCCCCAAAATAACTCAACACACAGCCATCAATGTCTAAACCGCTGGCAACAAAAGTGAGTACACCCCTAAGTGAAACTGTCCAAATTGGGCCCAAAGTGTCAATATGTGGTGTGGCCACCATTATTTTCCAGCACTGCCTTAACCCTCTTGGGCATGGAGTTCACTCACTTCTGTGAGATACTGTATGTATTTCAGTGAGGGCAGAAAGCGATTATTCTCCAGTTGCATGTTGTGCTGTTTGGCAGTTCCAAAATTCCCTGAGCAACGGCCGATCATAAAACAGAGGGTCTTAGGTTCGACGCATTGCACCAAGTCTTTCCCCGAGAGAACTACAACTATGTATCAGGTATCAAAGGACAGGGACTGTCCCTGCTAGTGAGAGATCCTTGAAGCTCATGATATGAGCAGAGAACGAAGTTGCTGTAACTCCCTCACCAGAAAATGACTTGCCATGGAAAGCGCCTGAAGGAGGGAGGCCTGGTAAAGTCGTGTTGCTGCAGCGCAGCCCCAGTGGCAGGGATGACTCCAGGTCTAAGGCGATTTCCAGACCTGAAATGATTCAGGGGTACGTGCCACCCCTCTTCCGAGATAAGGGGCACCTTGACTTCAGTGTCCCACAGGCTGCATGGGGAACAGCAGCAGCAGCAGCAGCAGCAGCAGCGAGAGCAGTTTCCGTGTGCCCGGAAGACCCACCTGCTCCAGTGCTTTCAGTGGTGAAACACACTAAATGGTCGGAACACTGTAAAGAAAAGTTACATTACACTCTAATTAGATGCCTTTGACAGGCCTTCTGAATTAAAGTTACCTTGAACAGGCAGGCCAATTAAGTAAACAGAAAGGTGGCATGTGTGAACTTACTGGGTTTGGGAGGCAATTTAGCAAGCCTATAAAGCACAGGGATTGCACTTTGACAGTTACCCACTCACAGAGTGGGGTCATTTGGTCTTCAGCACCAGACACCGAGGCCTCTTTTGATGTGTTTGTGGCAGGGCAGTGGGGTGGGATGGTAAGAGCTGCTTTTCTGAGTGCACTGTACTGATAGGTTGGTCTAGCAAATTCTTGACAGTACAGTGCATGTTCACAAGTGCAAATGTGCCTGCGGGAAGAATCTGGGTTGGCAAGCACACCCGGCAGGAGCTTGCCTCTGCTTAGGTGGGCCCATTCAGAAGCAAGGGGGCGCCATCGTCTCAGCTCCAGCAGCTGCTCAGGCTCGCTAAGGAGGCCATCTTCTCAAGGCCTGCTGGTGCTTTGTGAGAGAGAGGTGCAGCTTTGATGTTACAACGCAAAGGCACCCATGAGCAAGGTTTTTCTGCCAGGATTTGTCTGAATTTTCCCAACACCTGACAAGGCCCCAGCCTTGCCACACATTGGCAGGTGTTCAGCGTGTGCTCCTCACCTGGCGCACGCGAGTGAACGGTCTGTGGCTCTTGTGGAAGCAGGACCACCTGCCCCCCTTTGCCTGCCTCTTTTCATCAGACAGCAAATATACCTCACCGTCTTGCTGATTCCCCGCTGCTGACGCGGGACTCAGGCGCAACGCGCAGTAGCAGGAAGGTAGGTCTACTCGGAAGTCAGTCAGGGCAGTGCAGATGGATCCGTCCCCTTGACTTTGAGGGTGTGTGGCTGGCCAGCTTGCAGGGCGGAGCGAAAGCAAGGAGCTTGGAGGGAGGGGACCAAGCCCTGTGCCCTTCGTGCTATTGCATGATGTATTTGGCAGTTGCTTGTATTTTATATTGTGTTTATATTGTGCTTTATTATGTGTACGGACTTTCGTTCACCATCTGCCGTCCCCTGGAAGCAGAGCTCAAGGCAGCTTGGAAACCATGGGGTGCATGATCCTTTTGGGACTCCTGAAACCCTTTGACCTCCAAGGGTTATGGGAAACCTGTTACAGCAGGGGGCATGCAGAGGTGAAGGTTGTCTCTGCAGTCCACCCACTATGCAGAGCAGCAAG